ATATATATATATATATATATATATATATATATATATATATATATATATATATATATATATATATATATATATATATATATATATATATATATATATATATATATATATATATATATAAATCAATTTAAAAATCAGAGACAATGTAACTTCGACCATCAATTTATTTTTAAAAAAACCCTAAAACATACTAAAATAAAAGCTTAAAAGTTAAAAACGTTTCGGCAGTTCTGCCTTCATCAGTTTATAAACTATAGTCTATAAACATTGTCAGGGGACAATGTCTCCTGATGATCGCAGTGATGCGTGAAACTCGGAATAGAGACAAAAAAACATTTTAAGTAAGAATAGTAATTACATTCGCTCTACGAAATTTTTTATGTATTGAGCACTCTCTTCACTATACGTTACAAAACTTGTGATATATATTCGAGTTGTGACCATCGGTTATTTTATTTACTATATACAGCCAATTCAAAAAAGGTCGTCCTTTGCAAACCTTAAACTCTAAGCGCGCAAAGCTTAATGGAAGCACACGTTTCAAGCTTAGTAGGTGAATATTGCAGCTATTTGTGAATGAATTGTCCTCGTAAGGAGATATTTACCATGTTTCTAAGAAATGGACCTCATATATGATTTCTAAAATAATGCTCCTATTATGTTTTGTTTGCACGCTTAGAGATTAAGGTTTGCAAAGGACAACCTTTTTTGAATTAGCTGTATACTATATAGGTCAGCAACAGTGATTCCTCTATAGTTAACTTTTCTAATTATGATTTCGACTCAATCGTATGTGAGAAGAGTGCTATTAGTTCCAGTACAACTCTATTATACAAGACAGGGCAAGATTTTTCCAAGTACACCGCTTTCCTCTTGTGCCGAAACTCTAGAGAGAACAGGTTATAGAACTTTTCATTCATTTGACTAAGGATTTACTTTATCAAAAACTGAGTTAAATTTGCACATAAATTTAAGGTAATTTTATTTACTAATTTTAATATTTCGAGTTACTGCATATGCCTATGGGTGCATTCATTTACTCATTTTAATTCTCCCGATAATACTCAGGGTTTTTTAAAATGTAAAAAGATTCATGCAAATGATAAATTCATGTCATGAATTTGTTATTTTCACTGTAAAAATTCATTCTGGACGTTAAAGAAGAAATTAAAACAGAACAAAACACTTTTGCATTCCAAAAGAGCCCTTGTATTTTCCAAACTATTTAATTGAAGGTTCAATATAATATCTATTAGACAACCATAAAGCTCCTTAGAGATTTAACTTTGCAAGTTGGAATGAATACCAATATACGAGTTTCTTTGTATTATCAATATATATCATGCTTTTAGAATACGAGTAAACAGGTGATGGCACAGAGCCCGAATATGTTCTATTTAATATATTTTATCAATACATATCAATACAAACCAATGTATATAGATGGTAACTGAGACCCGACATTGAAATGAAGGCGGTGGGAACGACGTTTTGTCAAAATAATATAGGTAGTTGGGGCATGTGTCCCAATACATTTGAAAATGAGTGTATAGGTGGCTAAATACAGTTATACAGGAAATACTGTATTCACATAAAAAGCTTTATATGCTTGGCGACCGTCTTTATATACGACAAGTACCATTTATACAGAAAGTATAAATAACAAAAAATAATAAGACAAAAAATATGAAAGAATAAAGACAATAAAAGAATCTTCATCTGCGCACTTCCACCAGCCAAGTTGCACATTTCGTTTCAAACTTCCACATTTTCCTTTTCCGCCTCAAACGCCTCGTCCCAGGTTCCTTGCATCATCTCCTCGTCATCGCTATCGAATTCGATAACTTTCTTTCTGCTCTTACGGGTCGATTTCTTGCCAGTCTGGGGTTTCGGGACGACTTCGGATTCCGAATCGTTTTTCCGACGACGACGCGACGCTGGCGTCCGACCCCTGGTACTTCGTGTCTTCTCTGTAAAAATGTTAAAATGGATACGTTGGAAAGAGTTCAAAAATCCGACAGAGACGTCGAGTTTAATTTCAGTTTAGTGTAGGATTCTTCGTATACTAACCCCGACCCAATAGGGAATGGCCTTTACTGAACCTTTAGGGAGAACAGTTACCCGGGGCGGATTTGCCGGTGGGGTACAGGGGAGTACGCCCCCTCCATTTTTTTGTACTTACTAACTTTGAACTATTCGACTCAACTAAATTCGACTCAGCGTCAAATTCTAATTCAGCAAATGACTTCCTCGACATTTTTTTGGATTTTACCCTTCTCGCCAAATTTTCAGTCAGCCATAGTTCGAGACCGAAGCAACGTCTGGCAACAAAACTACCACCATTCGACTCATTCGACTATTGCTCTCGACTCAATAAAGCGTGATAAGGATATATTATAACCTAACCAAAGCTGTATACATCGAAATCACTAAGTACCATTGCTAAGTTACACACATACATTACATAAACATGTCGACTTACTATTTGCTGGAGTATTCGCCACTTTTCCGACTAGGACCCGAGCAGCTGCCGAAGCTTGATTCGCACGCTCGTAGCCCGCTTCCTCTTCGACACCTTTCTCGTGACACGTCGTGATACGTAACTCCAGTTCTTCTACAACCACCTACGTTAGAAATACAATTGTAACATTTCTGACTCGTATGTTTCTGAGTGGAATGACTGTTATAACAAATAGTGGCTTTAGCGCGCCCATAGGTTGAAAACAAACAATGCGAAACAAAGAAACATTGTCAGGACTTCTTTTAACAAAACCCATTGGATTGATTAATTGAACAGGATAATCTTTGTCCAGGCCATGCGCATATAAATTATAATCAATTTCAAAGAGTTCTTCATGTATGATCAAGGAAATCAAAGACTTTTTGAAACCAAATATATTGAGAATTAATACCGGTCTAGGTTTTTTCTTCATTTCCCACTTTCTGCGAAGCAAAACTGAATTACGAATCTGGGTAATACCAATCAACAGACAATTCTCTAAAGCTTGAAGGCCTTCGTACAACCGACGCCTGGAAGATAATGCCTAAGGGTTCCTTACCGAAACCCACATTATAATCATTAGTAAAGATTATACCTTTATTTCAGGTTTAGCCATTTTCTTGCATTTTCCCATGATTGTACTAAAGAAGCCGAAGACATCGTCATTCGAGAGCGTGCCTTGGAAACATGCAAAGTTTTCTTGTAGTTTCCGCAAAGAACGTTCGTTGTAGGAAAGTTGAGCCAAGCAGAATGACAGGTCGATCCATTGACGGTCAGTTCTAAATTAAATACAGAATATAGATTTCGAATTCAATTGAATGAAATGACCTGGTTGCCCTCAATAATATTACCTGGTTGCCCCGAATAATATTACCTGGTTGCCCCGAATAATATTACCTAGTTGCCCGGAATAATATTACCTGGTTGCCCTGAATAATATTACCTGGTTGCCCTAAATAATATTACCTTGTTGCCCGGAATAATATTACCTGGTTGCCCTGAATAATATTACTTGGGTGCCCTGAATATTACTTGGTTGCCCTGAATAATATCACCTGTTTGCCCTGAATAATATTACCTGGTTGCCCTGAACATTACTCCGTTGCAGTGAATACTATAACCTGGTTGCCCTGAATAATATTACCTGGTTGCCCTGAATAATATTACTTGGTTGCCTTCAATAATATTACCTGTTGCCCTGAATAATATTACCTGGTTGCCCTGAATAATATTACCTGGTTGCCCTGAATATTACCTGGTTGCCCTGAATAATATTACCTGGTTACCCTGAATATTACCTGGTTGCCCTGAATAATATTACCTGGTTGCCCTGAATCGATGACAAAGTTTCTCCACCAGACTTTCGCATTGTCGATCTTTTTGAATGAACGAAAACAGATAGCTACAAAAAGTATACGAAGTTGTTAATGTGTGACGTCTCGTGTCATTTTACGGCAACGTAGATGAGTTATGTGCTTGACTTACACAGTACAACTCAAGTTGTAAGCAGGTTGCATGTAACAGTTTTTGACAAAAGTTGTGAGTGTCAATCGGCCTTGAAACTGCGAATTTGTTTTATAGCTGTACTTGATGTTTGCATTGTTTTGTATAGTATCATGTTCTAATAACGGTCAGTACGTTTAGTACAGATTTGTGACTGAGAATCCGATAAAGGACATCGTCATGTCATGATGACGTCATTTTAATGACGACATCATTATGACGTCACTGGCAGTATAGAGTACCTCATAATATTTCTAAATGGAGCTTCTTCGATGCCTGTATCGGGGTCAGAAAGTCGACTGATGACATCGGGTAGAATATTGTACACGGCATTACCCTGAAATGAAATGTCAGCTCAATGAAATGTCACATGTTATATGGAAAATACCATGGAACTGTATGGAGATGAATACTGAAAGCTGCCGAACAGAGCTCAATGCCTGATGGCGAATGTTGAGTTGGATGATAGAAATTTCGCTCAAAATCAATACGAGGAACAACGAAATCAAAAGAAGAATTGAGAAGAAGGGAAGCAGGTTGAGATGGTGTTGACATATAACAATAAGAGATGAAGGAGAGCTGATATAATAGCATAAATATTATGGAATGAAGAGATCAGAAAACGATATGGTGTGGTAGCATTGCAGAGAAGATGAGGGCAGCAAGGTTGAGATGGTAAGAACACGTAATAAGAAGAGATGAAGTCTCACCGGTCATAGACTTAGCAGGGACATTATGGAATGAAGAGATCAGAAGAAGATATGGAGTGGGAGACATTGCAGAGAAGATGAAGAAATCAAAGATGATATACACAGGTAATAAGACGAGATAGAGGAAAACTAGTCAGAGACATTAGGGTGCTGGAGTTAAAAAGGAATAGAAGATGGGAGAACCCGAAGAAGACATGGATGGATGGATGGAATGTGTAAAGAAATCAGAATATCTAGAAGCTGGCAAGTTGGACATAACTAAGCTAGTACCTTCTTTGAGAGCTCGGAGAAAAATGATTTTGCAAGCTCAGCAATTCTTGGGTCATCGTCTTCTAAGCACGTGGCCATCTCGCTGATCTGACCCTTGACCTTCACCATGTCGTTGAGAATGAGACGCGTCATAATCTTCATCGCGTTCATCCGAACTTGAGACGAATCATCCCGAAGTCTGAATGAATTAGTAGTATTGTTTTACCTTGTGGAAACACCACGTCTATTTATTCGACAAAATTGTCGATCCGTAAACACGATCTCCATCATATACATGCCCATCGCCTGTAGGAAAATATATACATGGTCTATGTTTTTACCTTGCATAAAGATTTGGTGTCCAAGGTTCAATGATATTGGGAAAACGAGGAGTTAGATCGCCAAGAGAAATTATTGTGTTAGACCTGATCACTTCATGTCGACTCTAAAGAAACAAGCTCAAAAATTACTGACACATAGTTTCAACTGGTTTAATAAAAGACAAAGATTCTATTCTGCCAACAGTTTCGATTCTGCCAACAGTTTCAGGCCATTTGCTCGATGTCAAATCAGCTAGCTAGCCAGACTGCGACCTGAAATAGATCTCCAGTGTCGACATTTGAAAACAGTTTACCTTTTCCAATATCGTAAATAAAAGTTGAAGATTTTTCTCGCAGAACTCAGCACTGAAATGAAAAACAGTTTAAAATGCAATGACTGGAGTTTCTGTGTAATAATAGTCCAATTTATTCCAGGGATGCATTAGCTGTCTTAGTTTAAAATACATAACGAACTACCCAGACGAACTAGTTAGAATGCGCGATATACATATACTGGCAGTTGTTTTATCGGTAAACTGATAAATATCGGGTTTCTTCATAACCAGTTTTCCCGTCTTTCCCAGGATTGGAAAAACGAAAAAGAAGAGTACCAAAAAAAAACCGACCAAGGAAATCATAAATTCCTATAATTCTTCACGGGTGATGGACTCGGAAATGCATTGCCTATTAATTTTTCCGTGGTCCATTTTTCGTGTTTTTTTTCGAAAAAAAAAAAAAAAATGATGACGTAATGAAACGCGGTTTCAAATGTCGTCAAGATGACACGAACAAAAAAATCGATAAATCGGTTTTATAAAAACTGCCCCAGCCTGGAAGAAATCAAGCTTGATATTTTCCTGATATTTTGTCTAATGCCTTATTCATGCACATAAACGGATACAGTGATACCGTCAAACCGGGCTATTCTCTAAGAATAAAAAGTGTGGCTTATTCTTACCTGACTAACATGAATTTAGACAATGCCAGAGAGGCTGCAGTCTGTACTTGTAGATCGGAATACTTGGCTGGATTATTACATACGGCGACGATCAGAGAACCAAGTAGAGACAACAGATTATTACCACCTAGAGTAGAATGTGAAACATGAATAATACGAAACTAGGGCTAGATAGTTTCAAAGACTAAGGTCATTAAGAATTCAGAGGGTTTAGAGAATAGTCAAAAAGGTCTGTGTCTGTCATACCAGTGACTATCTCATGGTCACAAATCTTCTTAATATATTCAGCTTCTGCGTCTTCAGCAGTTGCCCCTGTCAATCCCATTTCATCCTCTAGTGTCTCGCTTGCCCCCTCCTATAAATGGAGAATATTAGTTGATATTATATGTTTAATCATGTTAAAAACCCGACATTGCTTGGAAAAAAAACTTTATTTAAACAGGGTGGCCCTTTCAGCACGAAGGCTCGTATCCATAGGGGCCCTATCAATACAAGGTATGTACTTCATCTTGCACGGATAATTTGGATCCGTATCACCCTGATCCTAAACCTAACACTAACAAACCCTAACGTACATTTATGGATCCAAGGTATCCGTGCAAGATGAGGTACTTATCGTACCAATTAATATAAAATTGACTCAAACTGACCCGATTCTGGCAATATATACGGTTGTCTGATGATCGTTATTTTACCTCAGGCGCATGTGGAAAAAGTACTTCTAACTGGAATCTACCAAACGCCGCCTATTGTATAGTAACACCGCACCAATATACATGTAAGAAACGGTTCTTACTGCATATGTAGGGTCAAGTTTAGAAGAACTGACAAAGCTATCCATTATTATAAAGTTGGTTTAGTTTATAGTTTAGTTCCCTTGAGACCATTCCAGTCAATATTGCAAGATAAAATGCACATTGATAAAACTACCTTCGTCACCCCTTCTCCCCCAGTTCAATGTTGTAAACAGCGCCGGAAAAACTTTTAGTAATTTATACCAAGACACAAGCTCAACATTGAGTTGGGGGAGCGGAGATTAAGAAGCGCAACATGATTCAACATGGTATTTACACTGGGGAAAAAAGTGAAATCCATACTATGATATTTGCAATTGCACCACTACTGTAAATCCATAGTATATCCATACTATTTCGATACTATATCCATAGGCATATGGAAATATACAATTATTATGGATAATCAAAAATCCATTCTATTTCCAATAAAGGTCCATACAATTTCCATTCTATGGATTTTCAGAATGTTTTCCAGTGATATTATTAGGAGTATGCGAATTTTGCATAGAGGAAAAGGAAATCTCAACCAGTTATATCCAAGATTGTGGTTTAGTAATTTAGACGTTCTTAAATACATAAAGCTGGATCACCTTAGTTCTTGGCGTCTGAGTGACACTTGTCGATGTCGAAATATTTTTCTTCTTTTCTCCCTTGCTGTCTTCCTTGAGTCTCTCGCGTCGTTTGATCTCGCCCAGAATACTCGCCTCAAGATGGACAACTTGCTGTAGTGCGATATGACCAGCGGCAGCCAGGAAGCGAGCTAACACGTAACTGGGACACGACACTGGAGCTGGTGTTTCCTCGCTTGCTGCTACGAGAGAGAAAACCAAAGGTTCATACCTCGAAACTCCTCACTGAACATTTTAAACTGTCGTCAGTTTACTTGAGGTGTTCTGTTTGCAAATTGATATTTTATCATTTTTTGGATAACTTTGATGCCTAATCTGCACATACGCATGCGGAATGGAGTGAATTGAATTGAACCGCGGATGAAGTTAGGGACCAGTCATTGTTTATGGCAGGGGGTGGCACCAAAGAGAAATGTTTTTTTTATGAAACATTTTGCTCATCCAACCATTAAAAAGGCAAAACTTTTTTACCCAACCTCAAATATCAATTCAAAAATAAATACCCACCCATGGCCAAAAACTTTACAAGAGAATACCATTCAATTGTCATACATGTCCTTTACCACTTCTGTGGTGGAGTTTGCCAACTGCTTGTGCAATTCTCTGCAGTCTAAAGTTTCATGTTGTCTGCACATGTACTTTCTTTGAAGACACCATTTGTCTCCTGACAAATCGGAAAAAGATCAAGATAGTGATTCTGATTGATTTTCATATATTTTATACAGACGTATGACTACTGATATTGCTTTTTAGTCTTCAATATTTGAATGAGTCATGCTTTGGAAAGGACAGTACATTTTTATTACCCAATCCTTGAGTTGTTTTGTTTCTCATTTACCCAACCTTTTACTCACTCAAAATTTTGTCTACCCAACCCTTTTGTCTTCGGTGCCACCCCCAATAAGTAATGATCGCTCCCTTAATTGTGTCACTGATAAACAAAAATTAGATTGTTGAACTTTTTCTCTCTAAAACAGATTTCCTCAATTTACCTTTATCAATATTTGCATCGCTGCCATCCAAATTCTCCTCTTCACCAAAAATCTTCTTAATCAAATTCTTGATCAAATGGCCACATATCTTATCAGGATGTTCCGCCAAATTGTAAACAACATTAATAGCTTCTTCAGCCATTGGGACCCACATGCCTTGCACAGGCGACGTTATACTGCTTACTAATATGTCATTAAGACGTTGAAACGCCATGTGGTCTGAGGAAAATCGTAGTGGTCCTTGTTTGTCATCACGAACCTGTTAATGAGGTGAATTATGGCTCAATGTTAATCCTATGCAGCAAGGTCGGATTTTGGTGGAAATAGTGGGGGAGGTGGAAAACAATTTAGTGGAGGTGCACCGGTCTAGCTCACGACCCCCATGGAAAGTTGACGTATGCATGTAGTGTACATATGTATCAGTGTATAATAATAATAATAGCTTTATTCATCCATCTTAAGATAAAAAAGTACAATGGACTTACAATTACTTGTTTAAGAAAGTATATATGCTGCGGATATGTCTTTATATTACAAATTGTTGTAAGATAATTTAGAAAACTAACTAAGAAGTTAAAACTAATAAATTCTTTAATCTAATAAGTTCTTCTAATAAGTTAAAACTATTTATACATATTTACAAGCTCTACCTGAAAATGAATGTTTATGCCTTTCAGTTCCTGAGAAGAATGATATATTGCGATTCCGGTCAATGTTCCTTAAATTGTACTGATTGTTAATTAATTTTGGCAAAACACTGCGACAGGGATGGTGTGGATCGTTCATAAACCTATCAACTTCTCGACTAGTTGCCTCTTCCCTTCTTTCGTTCAACGGTGGTAGGTAATCTTTTTCCAGGCCAAGGATTCTTAAGCTCCTGGATTGAACCCGCTCTATTTCATCTCGCAGGTAATTAGGGAGTCCCGCCCAGACAGGTGATGCATACTCGAGAATTGGTCTTATTTTGGATTGATAGGTAATAATACCGACTTCAGCTGGTAACTGCGATTTCCTGCATTCTCTAAGATGGTAAAGGCGTTTATTTGCTTTACGTGTAATCTCTTCAACATGTGCGTTCCATTTTAGATTATTTTGGAACGACACGCCAAGTAATTTAAAAGCGTTGACCCTTTCTATTAACTCATTTCCAATACGAAGACGTGGTGGTTCAGGTATAGCGTCCGTGAACGAGATCCACATGTCCTTAGTTTTTTTAGCATTAATTGCCATTTTATTTAACACCGCCCAGTTATTTACTTCATTGATAGATTGTTGTAAATTACTATTAGAATCTACGCTCACTATTTGGTGTTGTGTGCAGTCATCTGCATACTTATTCGTACTGACTTTTAGTTGTTCTGGTAAGGCGTCCTCCAAATCATCAATGTAGGTATTAAAAAGAATGGGAGATATTACAGAGCCTTGCGGGACTCCGGCCGGGCATGTTGCAATGGATGATAAGGTACCATTGAGATTTACTTGTTGAACTCTTCCGGAAAGGAAACTTTTAATCCATAACCAGAAGGGTTTATTTATGTTCATAGCTGCTAATTTGTTCAAAAGAATATTGTGATCCACAAGGTCGAAGGCCTTACGAAAGTCAATGAAGGCCGCATGAACCCCCATTTTGCCTGTTTTTGAACAATCAGTGGCATTAAACCAGGTTTGGGTAGTTGATATTAACGCAGAGACTGTGCTTCGATGTTGAGTAAACGCGTGCTGGTTATTCTTAATTTTCAGGTCTTCAATATTTAACTGGAGCTGGATCTTTTCCAGGATCTTGGCAAGATGGGGTAAGACTGATATCTGGCGGAAATCATTGTTAATGTCTCTCGGCGGTTGCACTTTAGGAACAGGGGAAATTAGGGCATGTTTGTAGAGTGATGGATAACAACATTGACTTATACTACAGCACACAATGTCATAAACCACAGGAGCTAGGTCTTCGTGGTATTGTTTGAGCATCCATGCAGGAACCTTATCGATGCCAGTTGCTTTTCTTGGATTAAGATGTTTTAAGACCGCTTTAACTTGGCCAATAGAAGGAAGGGGTGGTTTGTTATTCTTATGTGGGTGGTTCACTTCAGGTATTTCAAAGGCGACATTCGTGTAACGGTCCGACCATGGTTTAGTGAAGGCTTTCTGAAGTTTTTCAGCTAAGTCGGATAAGTCTAGGTTTTCGGGCCCGTGTGGAAATTGGGTGTGGGTTGTGTTTTCGGCATTTACTAAAGAGTAGATACAGTTATACCACTTCGATTGATTCGAGGTACGAAATTCTGAGGCCTTGGACCGATAGTAGGTGGCTTTAGCTTTAGCTATAAGATTTGCCACTTTCTCGCATAGTTGTTTGTATCTTGGCTGATCACCACGAGAAAAGGCCTTCTGACGAGCTTTGATTTGCATTTTAATATTACCGGTGATCCACGGTTTATCAGAGTGATGTACTCTGATGGTTTTTTCAGGTAAGAACTCGTCAAGCATCTTGATTATAATGGAGTTATAAGCTGATACTTTCTCATCCACATCCAGTGCTGAATATACAGTAGTCCAATCTTCAGAAGCTATATTCAGGGAGAGGTCATTTAAATTTGCTCGTTTCATCAATCTAATTTTTTTTGACGTAACCGGAGTTTTCTGTCTTTTAATGGGCTTGATTAGAAGACATTGGTGGTCGGAGCGTCCGATTGGGGGGAGATGGCTAACAGTGTCAAAGAGAGGGAGCATATTTGTAAGGATTTGATCAAGAATGTTGTGTCCTCTAGTCGGTTTAGTTACGGATCTTTTTAAATTAAATCTGTTACATAGTTCTCTTAATTTTAGTTGATTGAAGTCCCCAGCTATAACAATTCCAGATGAAGGACGTTCGCGCAAGAGACTATCTATACAAGTAGTTAAGTATTCATTCATATCGATTGCTTGTTCGGCGGATTGACCAGGAGGGTAGTACACAACAGCAGCAACGATTGTACTGTAAGGTCTAGGGGTTCTTGGGGGTTTTAACAACAACCATATCACTTCTTTGTTTTCTTCTTCGAGGTGAGTCATACGCTCTGCTGGTAAACAATTATTCACGTAGGCGATCACTCCACCGCCAGGAGACTTTCTATCGCGACGAAATATGTTGTATTTATTACCGATCTTAACCGAGGAATCACCGATATCATCACTTAGCCAAGATTCAGTTATCATTACCACGGATGGGTCATAGATCGATACAACAGCAGCTAATTCGTCTACCTTATTTGTTATATGGCATACATTTGACAAGAGGAAGGACGGGACTGAGGACTTTCCAATGGTGGGGTTTGTATTAGTCTTAATGTTAATTAAATTATTAAAATTTACACTTCTCTGAGATGTATAATTATCACTTGTCCGTTGGATTGCGCCTAAACGAGGGTTCCAAACTGGTCCAAGGTGCGGTTGACCAGCTGTAGGTAAGCTTCCCAGGACTCCGTTTCTCCAAGCTGTAACTCTGACTTTGATTGGAAAGGATTCACTTTGTATGCCGGGTTGATTTGACTTGCTCTTGTATCTGTATAGTCTGCTGTTGTTCTTGGTTTCGGAATCCACCGATAGCGACCGCTTCGAAAAATCTTTGAGGGAAAATTTGCTTGACGATATTGATGTTTAGGCTCGGAAAACTGATTGCGCCGGTAATTAGGTTTCGAGAAATGCGTTCTGTTAGTTGAGGAATTATGCATTGGATTCCTCCTATGACGATCCATGTTGGCGTTTAAGGCGGCCTGATTGCGCCGGTAATTAGGTTTCGAGAAATGCGTTCTGTTAGTTGGAGAATTATGCACTTGATTCCTCTTATGACGATGCATGTTGGCGTTTAAGGCGGCCTTTTCTTTTAGGAGATGGTCGAATGAGGTCAGGGAGTCTTGCACGACTGGTTTATTGGGATTTCTATATTTCATAAGAGAGTCATTAACAACTGGCCCTCGGGTATTATATTGTTTCTCTTTGTATGTCGCAGATGGTAAATTATTCATATTAGTGTTTACGTTAACTTCAGATTCTTCTATATCAATTAGTATAACAGAGTCATTGTCAGTGATGGTTGGTTGATTATTCATATTATCGATAGCAATGTTAATTGGCGATTTTGACAATTCCATGCCGTGCAGTGTTTCCTTGAGTAATTTAATTTCTTGTTTCAATAGCTGATTTTCGTTTCGTAGCCGATTGCATTCACATGTAGCGGGAGCTTCAGCAGTATTAACTTTTAGGAATAATAATGCCAAGTCCAATTTAATTTCTGCTACTTCTACAGATAATTTACTACAGTCTTTGCAATTCATTATATAATCGCCTTCGTTCTGCTTGTGTGAACACATTTCTTGCTCATTTGCTTTTCCTTCGCTAGCATCCGAGTCGCTTCGGTTGATAGTTGTTGTTGTATTACTAGATCTGTCAAACATGTTCGAGTTAGAATTGTTAATACTGAGACTACACTGATTATCGATAGATTCATTCCGTCTTTCGGAAACAGCAGGGGTAGCAATGATTAGCTCGGCATCTTTCACTATTGCAATTCGCGATGCATCGATATTTTTCTTCAAAGAGTCAGCCACTTCGCTGCCACGAGGACCTTGAAATAAGACAGTTTTGCTTTTACAATACCAGGTTATAGACAAAGCATCGCTAGTAAATAACCAGCGTCCACCTGACGGTGATTTCCATTTACCATTTATGTTTAACTTTTCTGCGACGTAGGACTTTAATTCGCTTAAGTCGCCATTCCAGATGAGTTTGTTCTTTTGTAATTCAAAGCAATTGCTCATTTTAGGTCAATGTATTATCCGTTAGAAGTGATTTTGAACTGTCTATATCGCGACCAATATCAGATGCCAAAGGAAACGTGTATTAGTGAATTATGACTGTACAACTCATCCAATTTTGCCCTTCATTACAATTACTACAAAGTTTCTTTCAACACATTGCATTAAAAGGGTACATGACACAGAGAGGAATGGCCATCACTGTTTCAATTTTACAGAAAAACGTTCTTACGAAGTGTAGACCCTAAGCAACTAAAAAATGTCAAATTTTCACTTTGATCTATCATTGAAATTTCCCCCAAGGGGAGGTGCATGACATTTTAGGGAAGTTGCAAAACGATCTCAGGGGAGGTGCACACCTCCTCACACCTCTCCTCCCCTCAAAATCCGGTCATGTTATACAGTATAGCCCTTTCCCAATATAATTTAAGTGAGTAAGTGGGTGTGTGCTAATCATCCTTACTTGCAGCTGAGAGCTAAGCTAAATTACGAAGGACACAGCTCAACCTGAACGAGTCGAAGGCTTTCTAAGGACGCCTCTGGCAGCCACCTTATGACTCATGTCTGATCACGGAGTACAGCTACGGTGGAAGGGTCAGTTAGGGGGAAAATCCCAACCGACCCTGTCAACATTCCCTGTGGGAGGAAACCGGAGAAAACCCACGACTTTCGGCAGAGCGTTGACGGACTCTTTTCACATAAGTGTCATGAGTTCGTAGCGAGATGATTGCGCCACCAAAGCCCCTAGCAAGTGTTTGAAATTATCATAAGCGGCGGGCCATTCTTCATGTAGCCGCACATTTCATAGGGTCAAAATCACTGGAGAGCCAGGTCTACACACCGAGAATATTTTTGGATTTAAGAATCTCAATCCTTTGAAAACACTTAACAATACCTTTAAACTTTTGTAAATTCTCGTATAACTTTCACTCAAATTTTATCCTTAGGCAATGGTTTTGTACCCGACCATATTAAATAAACGTTTTGATATTTTGAATTAAGTAATTACAGTACTGCATGACAAACAGACACACACATATTTGTTAATGGTTTTATTCGGGTACAGTAATGTTCAGATGCAAACAACGGCAGCTTAATGTAGAATACTACTCACAGACTTGCACATCTGTCAGTTCAAAAAGTTCTCAACATATTTTATTCTCACCTTTTCTTCATTTTTATTCAGCGTGAGTAAGATAGTGCAGGTATCTCGCACTAATAAAGCATCGTCTTTGGCTCTCTCGCCAAGCCCAATGCTCACTAGTACTTCTATATTGCTTTTCACGATCTCATGTTTACCTCTACAAAAAAAAGGCAAGAGAATGAAGACTACACAAACTTTATTTATACTGGATAGCTCTTTTAGTCAACTGTTCTCCCGAGAGGTCCAGTAAAGGCCAGTACCTAATTGGTCCAATGTTATTACATGAGGAAACCAAACTGCCAACTTTATATACTGGATATCTACAGAGCTCGAAATAGCGGGCTGCCAATGGCCAAAAGCAGGCCATATTTTAGAAATGGCAGGCAAAAACAAATTTGAACTGCCAAGTAAAAAAAAAATGGCAGGCGAAAATTTATAGATATATTTCATATTATTTGCTTACCACAACTCATATATACTAGATCATTTAGTTGACTAATTTAGACTGGCAGGCCATATTTTTTCTCTTCTTCGAGCCCTGCTCTATCATGCAGTCTGAAACTATTCTCCGAATGTTTCCCCATATATAGTGCAGGTTCAGTAAGGGCGATTCCTTATTACCACACGATGAGTATCTAGCGAAATCCTATAATAGTATGGCGTTTGGTAGAGTGACTCTTCTTACATGCAACAGAAGTAAACTTTTAATCAAACAAGTACAAGTGTATATTAGAAGAATTGAATCCCAGTCACACACACGAGGGGACGATTATTTTTTTGGTTCTGATTTTCTATATGTTGTCTAAAGCAGCCCTTTACCTTGCCAGCATTCCCAATAATTTCAGAGCGCTTTTGCTTTGTTCTTGGGTTGTCTGGGGATCCTTCAATAAAATAGCAAAACAATTTATATAGATTATTCACACATTAATGTCCATCTGCAAAAATTATACACATGTGGTTTTGTCAAAACCATCGATTTAGAAACAAATTGTCTTAATCTTCCCATGTGAATTAAGGATATATGTGTTTAATGGTCGAGGGCACTGACTGCAGAAAGGTCTAGTGGCCTGCCCTCAACCATCCACAGTACTTCAGCTTTTGTTATAGTGTATATATAAGAAGTAAAAATTGTCTCAAACTCCAGGTTTGCAATGACCATCCTGCAACTATACCTTCATTGCAAATTTTTCCCACAAAAGATGGATAACATTCTTTGGTATCAAGCTTGTCTTCATTAATTTGTACACCTTGAAATGAGAACAAAGTAAAGAGAACAAAACTGAATATTGTTCATTCAAAACTGAAAGTTAGTTAAATCTCACATTAAGCAAAAAGAAACCTAGTAGGGATATAATGTACTGTACCAGTTCATTCAGTGAAGTCAAATCGCCAATCGAAGCGCCATTAAGGAGGGCAAACAGATTTTTAACAATCGCTTCTGCTTTCGCTCTAGAAAGAACATGGGTTTATCAGTTTTAAACTCTTTTCCACGAAGGTCCGGTGAGGATCCTATACCTGGGGTACAGTTTTATACAAAAGGAGAACGTGATTAAAAACTATCAGTTTTGTCGAAACTGTCCTTTCTAGAGGCTCAGTAAGTATGTGTCATCCATTATTGGTCCAGTGTTACTATACATGAGGAAACCGGAGTCAGGGTTCGTAGTCTCCAAGACCAAAAAAATTCAAAGATTTTTGCTGCCTATTTTCAAAGACTTTTCAAAGACCTTTAAGAGCAATCAGCTGTCGAAAAATTGCAAGTGTAAGCAACATTTTTACCCAATAATTAGTCCCGTCAAATCACATCCCAAAATGTGCCTTTTCGTCGATATTTGTGAAAATCTTGCTTCAATCAATCTATTTTATTAGCTAGGAAATCGTATAATCAAATACTCACTAAAGAATTTAAAGACTTTTAAAGACTTTCTTCGCTTTTTCACACAATTCAAACACTTTTCAAAGACCTTAAAGACCTGCATTCAAATTTAAAGACTTTCAAGGATTTCAAAGACGGCTACGAACCCTGGGAGTATTCGAAGAAAATCTGATTTGGTTTGGTGGAGTCAAACTGGAAGAACTCTTTTCACATGCGATTGGGGCATGGTAAAAGCTGTTAGGTGGACTATTATAACCAAGAGTTTCTGGTAAATAATCCACCTACAGTAACATAATCTGGTTAGTTCAACCATATAGCCTGGTCAAATTAACAAGAAATCCTGGTTAAATTATAGCCAGGGCTACGATCAAGCTAACCAGAATTGTGGTTAAGTTAACCACAGGAACATTAAGTTACACCAAACAGGGTTAATTTTAGATTAGCCAGGAAATTCTTAACCAGGGTGTTTTCAGAGTATACCTTTGTCCTTGTACTTGAGGATTAAGATACAATCTTGTGTAAGCATCAACGACCTTGCTCTTAACATCGTTATCTTTGGACCAAACCAAGCTCAGCATTCTCCTCACTCCTGACAGAGCGTTGTTTAAACCAAATTCGTAAGCAATGACGACAAACTCGATGGATTCATGGACGTCCGTGCTTACTTGAGAACCCAGGAGTCGACATACAACCAAGACAGCGTGTTGGT